TTTTTTTTTTTTTTTTTGTGGAACTGGGGATTGAACTCAGATCCTTGCGTTTGCCAGTCAAGCGCTTATCCTACTGAGCCATCTCCCCAGCTCCTGCTACTTGACTTTTGCCCAGTTATTTTTGCCCATTTATTTAACTTCCTTGAGCCTCACCTGACAAGTGAGGACAGAGGTAGGTGTGAAAAAAAAAAGAAGCCAAATACTTAGAAATACACATATAATCCCAAGGACTAAGATTTATCATCTCATAAGGCATTAACCTTTTTTTTTTTTTTGGTCTAGCTTGGCGAACTTAATTTCTTTTCTTTCTTTTTTTGAGAGAGGGTCTCATTATGTAGTTCAGGCTGACCTTGAACTTGTTTATGTAGCACAGTCTCAAACTCACAGTGAAACTCCTACTTCAGCCTCTTGAATGCTGGGATTATAGAGTGTGCCACCACACCCAGGGGCAAACCTATCTGAGTGTCTCTCCTTATGGATTCTTAATACCTTGGTACCATTTTATTCATTCCTTTATTAATGAATGAGTTGAGCAGAATCTTCTACATGTTTCTCTCCTGGCTTTGAGATTTTTTTTTTTAACTTCTTGAAATTATTCTTTGACAAGTTCTAACTCTGCCTTAAGACACTTTTCTCAATTGACACTTGCAAGGCTGACTTTGCCAGCATGCTGATGAAGTCATTTAAAACACAAATGCACACACAAGTTGTGTGTGCATGCAGTGGGCTGCATTTTATATTTTCTAGCCAGTTCTTTCCTATTGCAGTTATTGGGAACCAGGCCTTTTGGGGGTGACTGTGGGGATTAATCCCTTGGAGGAATCTGCCTACTGGAAAGAAGCAAGATGAGCCTAACAGACAGACATACTTTCAAGGCAGCCTTTACCTTTATGACTAGCAAGATAATGAAGGAAGGTAATTCTGAGAGCTTTATGTCAGTTTTAACGGTCCCTCAAGCACTGAGAAAGATAATAGTCAATGGATGGTGTCCATAAGGATTTTTTCTGCTTCTCCCCTGACAGCAATTGACAGGATCATTTTGTATTTGCAACTGCTGCCGCTGAAGCGTGGAGAAGAGGCCCTGTAAGGCCAAGAGGATGAGGGCGACTTCCCTGCAAGGATCTTTATTGTCATCACTAGGGCAATAATGGTTACTATAATTTTCGTTCTGCTTTTCTATGGAGTGTCTACTTTGCTGAGCTTAAGGCTATGGGATTTGAGTCACAAAAATCACACTAGCATAAAAACATGCTTCGTATTCTCGCAATTATTTTCTAAAACCGCAATAAAAACCTATGCAACAAGATTAAAATAATTACTAATGCAGGTCACTTGACTAATACAATTATGTATGGGATGTTAATAGCTTTTCAGGGGCTCTCAGATAGTGTCAATTTGACAGCCATTTTTCCTCTCTTTCGGGATCCGCTGCCGTGTTTTCTCCCCAAGGACAGGGCTTATCATTGTGTGTGTGTGTGTGTGTGTGTGTGTGTGTGTGTGTGTAAATTAATTGCAAATTAGCTCTCAGAAGTCTGGTAGTTTCTCTTTATTATCCACAATTAAGCCATAAGGAGCAGTCATGCCTTCTACTTCATTTCTGCACACCCTCAGCTCCTCCTACCGAGCTCTGCAGAGCTCCTTGTCAGGGTTCCTGGCTTGCCTGCAGACAGCATTAGGGACATCACACCCTTTCAAAGTATGAGTCCGCGAAAGAAACCTTGTGGACCAAGCAGGAGGCGCACCTGTGACACGGTGGGCTCAAAAGGCTCTAAGGGGTGCCTTCAGGTTGGGAGGACAGCTGGAAAACAAAGAAAAGGAGGTAGGAAACAGAGGTAGAAACGAGAAAGACAAGCAAAAAGAAGAGCAAAGCTAGCAACTGGGCAGTCTGAAGAGAGAAAACTAAAGAAAAGAGGCAAAAGAAGAGCTAAGTCGAGCGTCCCAGGAGTCCTCGCGAAGAGGCGGGGACTACAGCCCCCAGAATCCCTTGCGGCGCCTCCTCGGCGTCAGTCTCTTAGGCAACCAAATTAAACAAGATGGCGGCGCCCTGGAGAGATCCCCGGGGATCGAGGCTGCCCTCTCTCCGGAGACGCTTGGGCACTTTATCAGTTGGAGGCCCCTCGATACCGCTGGGCTCAGAGAAAAGACGTCAGTCTTGGTGTCTTTTTTCCATGGGGCAGAGGACGAAAAGTACTTTCCACAGAACCTCCTCCTCCCACTTGCTCCAGCAGCTCATTCGCCGCTCTCAGGACGAGGAACAGGGAGAAGGGGAATCCGAGGAGTCCTCAGAGTCCGACACGATGAATTTGGAGGTGTGCTTGTCCCCTGCTTCCAGCTCTCTGGCTTTGCTGCTTCCCGGCGGCTCCCGGCCGCGCCCCCCACGCGCTCCCGCCGAGCCCCCTTGGGCTCGGGCGCCTCTTCCCGACGGCTTCGAAGCCACCTGCTGTACTCCCCTCTCTGTTAACTCGTTTCTTCCACCCGTTTCTTTATTCTCTGCCTCAATGTCTCCAAATATATTTCCTTTTCATGAACACCTTTGGTTACTCATGAGTAGTTGCACAGCATCCGTATAGAGGTTATAGCTGTCACATTTTCAAAGTTACAGCCTGACAAAATTACTACCTTATTGTGAATAGACAAGAGTTCACCTTTCCATCTCCGGGACCTGTTCCCTAGCACTGTGAAGTACTGCAACACACTTCCAAAGCTGTAGTTCATTCATCTTGGGACACTGGAACAAATCTAGGCGCTCCTTCAAAGCGTATGCAATTTAAACGTTTTATGTATAATACTTCTGCTAAGGGGGTGTGCTGTATGTAAACAAGACACCCACCCGCAAAAAAAAAAAAAAAAAAAAAGCCGTAGAATGTTCAGCCAGTTTCCTGTAGGAGTGTTTAGAATTTGGGAAGTGTTCCCCACATTCCCACTGTTACTACTTGGGATGGTGTTATCGCTCTTCATATTAATACTTTCTGTTTTCTGCAGACCTTCCTGTAGCCATCACACAATTCCACTTCTTTTTAGACTTACTCTTTCAGTTTCTGTCTTACCCTGTTATCTGTTTTCATTTCTCATCCCTTTTTTCTCTTGGTTTCTAATAAATTGTTTGCTTTTTTTTTTTTTTTTCCCCGAAAACAAATTGATTTGTTTCCTATTCAATACTCTGTTAGGTTTTCCTTGTTTTGGCTAGCTCATTCATAGTGTAAAATACTTGAAATTCTTTTCAGAAGTCGACATAGTAAGGGATAATAGAATGTTGCTAGTATCCCCAATCTGTATATTCTTCTGACTTTCCCTTTGAGCATCTTTGTGTTTTTTTTCCTTACTACATTTCATCCTTTAAACCAAACATGTTTCTCTTCGTTATGCCTGTTTACTTTCACAAACCCCTTTCCTGGTTTGTTTTCTTAGTCTTCCTCCTCTTATCTGCAATATTTTCTCATTCTATTAACCATTTACACTCTTCTTACTTCATGTCCTTTTGTGCTGTCCTTTGACTGTCTTTGAATATTTCCCCCCCAATCCTCATCCTTCATTTTGTCTTTTCTTTTTCCTCCTCTCTGAGCTACTTACACTCTAATGTTGCTTAAAATTGACCATAGATGGGGCTGGGGAGATGGCTTAGTGGAATAAGTGCTTGCCTGGTAAGTGTAAGGGCCTGAGTTCAATTCCCTGTTGAAAAAAAAAAAAAAAAAAAATTGACCATAGAAAGTTATTACTTATTTGTTGGTTTAGCTTTCTGCCTTTAACAGTCATTACTGCAGAACTATAAGCGTGTTTTTGCAACTTTGAAATGTTTGTATGGTTTCCACCAGCTTCCACCCCCGAGGAATTCATAAATGAACCACTGGTATACTTTATTATTCTAATTAACACATGATCTTCAGCAATGGGGTTCATTAGTACCATTGTTAATCTGTGTTCAGTATGCCATTAGCAACTCTTAGGCAGAGTTGACTTGAGTAGTTACTCCTTTTTTGAATTGCAGGATGTCTTTGGAGGAAGTTCATTATTTTTTCCACTTACATCTAAACATTAATATTTTTGTATTTCCACATTCCTTTTGGGTTTTCATAGAATGATATGAAAAACATAGTAAGTTTCAATATGCTGGATAAACTGAAGTGTTTGGAAAGAAACACTTGGACATTTATGTTTAATGATTTATTTTTCATGTCTTAGCCTTCTTAAAGGTTATAAGGCTGTGATGGTCAGCATGATTATTGACTGTCCACAATACAATTAATCTCAAACTTCAGAAGTGCTTATGAATTGAACAGAGGCATATAGATTATTTTAAACATTGTCTACAGTAACAAAGATTGGTTTTTGAGATGTGGTTTAGCTATTTGTTAGTTGGGAGATCTTGAACAAGTTACTTAACGTCTGTGTTTTGTTCATAATGTGGGGATTATAATAATAATAAATATAGGAAAGTTGTAAGAATTAAGTAAAATCCTGTTATGTGGAAATCTTAGCATAATGTTATTGATAACTTTTTTGGTACATGTTATTGATACTAAAACAAATATTAAATATACATTTTTTACCTATTATAGCCCATTCAGTAATTTTATTTGTTATCATTCATTAAATAAATATTTATGGAATGATTGCTATATAGAAATCACTGTTTGACTGTATAAAGCCTAAATGTCTGGGCTCAAAATTTAATTCATGAAAACCAGTCTACTCCATTAACCAAGTGTGGCTACTAATGCTACTCTTGAAATAGTTATGGACATCAAATTTTTATTTTATTTTATTTTTTTATTTTTTTTAAATATTTATTTATTTTATTTATTTACTTATTTATTTAGTGTGTGGCCAGCTCAGCCCACCAGGGGGC